GGCCTGGGTTTGCTCTGTGTTGAGGTACTGGAGAGGGTCCAGGGAACTGCTGGACTCTACTTTAGAGACTGGACGAGGAGAGGACACTCGAGCAGAAAAAGACAGACTGTAGGGAACCAGAGAGGCTGGAACAGACGTCACCTGGACACTGGCACCTTCACTACCTGTAAACAAGGTCAGACAGGTTAGAAATACTACAATCAATGAGACATTACACACTGTGAACTATTAGTCCAGAAGAAGCTCTGGATGACCAGAGAAGATCCTCAAAATAAATGCCCCAGTTTTTCCAGTGATCTGATTGGTCAGTGGTCAGGCTGTTGACAGGTTTGGATCCTATCGTCTAAAGTTGCCCTGCTCCACAGCAGATTAGCTGAGATGAAGTTAGCTGGTAAAGGATAATAAGGATAATCACTTTATTTGGCCAAGTATGTTACACACACAAAGAATTTGTTTCCGGTACAGAACCGAGGCAGCCATCTGTGGCGCCAATTCACATCAATTGCTCTAAACATCGGGGGAAACTTGGGGTTCAGTGTCTTGCCCAAGGACACTTTCAAATCTGGACTGCAGGCACTGTTTTTCGAATCTCCAACACACTGAACCACTAATATCACTTCATGGTACAGGCTCCATGTGTCTGCAGCTCTTGCAACGCAAGTTTTCTGTAGCTGTTATTGTTCTCAAAGAACAATGACAATTTTACCCCATTATCTCCTGTAGTACATTTTCTTCAGTGTCAGTTCTTTGTTCTATGTACCAGAAGTGTCATGTCTGGTTCTGTGGCCACACCTATGTACTTTTTAAGAAGTTGAACAACTGTTTATGGCCCATAACAGAAGTTTCCAAACGTTGTGTTTGCTCAGAGTAGAGAAAAAGCATTTCATTATACTGCTGGACATGTGACTGGTGTAGCATAACACTCTGTGTAAGTAGGTGTGATGTGCACTAAAGCTGAAGACTGAGGGTTCCTGATCAACATACTGGTTTGTTGTCCTACCCTGAGGTTGGTAGCGAGGGTTGAGCACAGCAGGCAGACAAAACCTCAGCCCGTCATCAGCCTGCACAGCCAGCTCAGTGACGTACTCCAGCCTGATGGAGGCGCTCTCTCCTGGAGGCAGACTGCCCACACTCAGAGAAAATATATCTGGACTCTGGTCGCTCTCCTCCAATAGGAAGGCCTGCTGACCAGAGCTCAGGGCATCATCATACTGCTCACGAGCCTGGAGTACAGATGACACATGTCAGTAACATGCACTGGGTTTAATGTCTCTTTAAAGATCCATTACACTGATGAAGTATCTGCTGTGCAGCTCACCTCCTGCTTCTCCTTCACCTCAGCTACAATCTGTCTCTGTCCAATCTTAGCACTGAAATGACAGACAGCAGCATCTCCAGGCAGAGGAAAGACAAAAACAGCCTCTATTGGTTTGTCCTCCTTGTTCTCGTAGGTCAGAGTAGAGACCACTGTCGCTACGTGGTCCTTCACCTCCAGCTCTATCTCGACACTCTTCAGAGGAACTGACAGAAAAACAGAACAACACATAAATACAGAGGATACTTTTGTGTTTTGTAGGTTACCAAAATGTTTTTGATAATACTAATTAGGGTTCTTCTGTAGATGATTGTTGCATTTCAGCACATTAAAGCTGTGCCTGTTAACCAAGCTGAAATGTCTAATAGCATACACAATTATGTGAACAGCCATTACTACCAGTACAAGCCTTTTGCGGAAGAACTTTTCCCCAGGGCCAGACAGGATCACCCACATTGTTCTCTATCAGCTGTCAAAAAGCACTCAAAGTCTAAAGAATCTCTTGCAAAGTATAAGATTTATTGGGAAAAAAAACTACATAGCTCAAAACATCCATTTTTATACATTTCTTCAGCTCCTCCTCACCTGGAGCTTGCGTCACCCACCTCTTTCTATCAACCTTTCAATGGATATACAATTATATCATTTGTTAAGATATGTTTCTAAAAAACGTTTAAAGAAATGACCTTCAATGAACCATAACATGCCCTCAATCTAGATTGCGTATCAGTCTAGATTAAATAATTGATGCAAACAATAAAGTAGTTCAGCCATAGGCCACCTGCCATCTTAGTGATTTGCATAATCATCAAAAAGCCTCCACTTAGGCCAGTAGTAAATATCTCAGGGTCAGATGCTGATCAGATGACAATTTTAGCAGTCTGCCCAGGAGGCAGGCTGATGAACTGTTGACCATCTTTTTCCAGTCTGCTAAAAACCTTTTCAAACCCAAAAGCCTACTGTACCTCAATATAAAGCAAATATAATGAAATAAAGCCATTATAGTGAATTAAAACAATTACATTTTTCCCACACTTTACACTTGAAATTTACATGAACACAAGGTTTATAGAGAAAACCAAAGATATATCTTCTGCTTGTTTTCTAACAGTTTTGTACCTGGTTCCTTCTCGGGAGTCAGCAGACCACAGTGCCTCATTGTACCTGCACAAAAAATTAACAAGAACATTTGAGGACTTCCTTGTGGTAATGTTACTGGACTTCCTGAATGTTGTTCAGCAGATATTACAAAAACAAATTTAATGTTGACGATTATAAATATTTTCCCATGAATGTCATCATAAAATAATATAACAGTTGTAGTTGTAACTATATGTGGGGTGGCTGTGGCTCACGAGGTAGGACAGTCGTCTTCTAACCAGCAAGTTGGTGGTTTGACTCCCGGTCTCCCCGCATGCCTAAGTGTCCCTGAGCAAGACACTGAACCCCGAATTGCTCCCGGTGGCTTGATTAGCGCCGTTGTGTGGCAGCTGAATGAATGACTCATAAGGAGGATATAATCATAATTGGATTAAAAACCGGACACTAGTTTGGGTGGAGGCTGGAGATTCAACTGGAGAGGATGCCTTGTAAAGTGAATTACTGTCACTCAAAAAGCATGTAATCAAATTCCTCCAAGACACAAGTATCAAAAGTAACTCAATAACAGTGAAGTACTTCCAACAATATGAAGACAGACATTGTAATCAGATTCATATGTAGTCTGAGTAAGCTGGCTGATGCACAGGACACAATTACTGGGCTCCTTAATGTTCAGGAGGGCAGGACATATTTTAACAACGTTTGTAAACAGAAGGCATTTGTCTGCTTCCCCTTAAAGGACAGCTTGCACCCTTTGGAATGCAGATATTTTAATAAAAAGATTTTTTTAAAACAGGACAAAGTACTAGATGACAAAATAAGGCAGTGGACTCTGGTTGCAGAGAGATGAAATTAAAAATAGTAAACACCGAATAACCATATAGCCACCAAATATCTGTGAAATACTATATTCACATATGTAAAGAAAACTTATATTCCTGACTGAGGACTGAGGACCTGGAGTGGAGATGATGATCTGGAGCAAAACTCATAAGGAGGATATAATCATAATTGGATTAAAAACCAGGCTGTCTGATGAGACACCAGAGCAAGCAAAGGCAATTGTAAAAGACTAAAAAAGGGTGGATCAGTACCGTTTGTTGACCCAAAGAAAGCTTTTGACACTACTGATCATAACTTCATATGGTGCCACACAATCTTGGTTACAGATATTGAAATTATCTTACTGTAGATAATCGTCTCATTTAAATATAAATAGACTATTAAATGTCAGAATTAAATATTCTCACATTTCCAGTCCATATTGTCTAAGCTTTCCATTCAGTTTTCCCATGAACAACTTCCCAAGGCTACGTAATAGCCATAGGTAGCTATATAGCCTATTACTTAATAAACTGATTTTCTGCTGCAGTACGTCGATGCCACGCCCACTTTCTGCTCTCACTTTACAGCTGTTCCCCCAGCTCCTATAAACAGGATATATTTACCCAGATGTTTGCGTGAGGGCTGATGATCAAATGAAAATAACATAATTTCTCCTATGTAAATTTACGGATCAATAATAGAAACTAGTCGATGACCGTGGAAGGCAATCGATCTTCTTTTTTGCCATATTTTATGGTAACAAATTAATATTCCTCAAAATAACCACACAGTAGATGGATGCTTACCTTTATTGTTTAGTGTCTAGGGACAGGTTTCTCCTGGTAAATACTGCGTTTCTGACGCAGAAGGAATTATATCCAGACGGAAGATAGGATGAGCCAGACCATGGGATAGCCACGCCCACGGGCTGCGCTCGATTTTGCATAGTCGTATTTTAACAACTTAATTTAGCAAGTTAAAAGCTCTTTAGTTTAGCAGTTTTCTCTTTGAGTAACTCTTTCAGTGTTTCATGTGAATTGGAATCTTTTAAATATCCTTTCCCCACATATTTTAACGCTGTAAAAAGAAGCCTTTTCAGGAAAAAATAAGATGCAATATTGAACACAAGGTATATAAACTACAAAGTATCACAACTTTTACCCTTTTTATCTAAATTTATACAAGAGCTTTCACCTGAGTGCTCTTGGATTTCTTGAATGTGCCCATGCAAAATTTTTGAACGAAACATCTGTTTTCACTTCTTATCAGAAGTTCACTGATATAAAAGACAACATGGTACTGTTTTTACACTAAAATTGGTAAGAATTTGGATAATGCAAGCTTTGATGTTTGAAGGGTACATTTCATTTACATTAATCAAGAGTGATTTCTTCAAAACCAAATATTGTTTTATTCTGAACTAAAAATATGATCTAATTCACTAAAAGTGAGTCATTAAAACATCCAATAGCTTGAATAAAATTGCTATACGAATCATAAATGTAGAAAATATTCAAAGATAAAATATATAATAATTTTTTTCTTTTCATTTATCATTTATGTATTTTTTTCTGTGGTAAAAACCTATCCCTCACTCTTGCCTTGTTGTTGTTTTACACATCGTTGTACTTTGTTTTATGAACTATTTTGTGTATCAAAGTAATGGTTTTTGCTCATGCAGTATGACAGATGAAATGTTATTAAAGCTCATTAAAAAAAAAAGAAAAAATCAAAGCTCTGCAGTGGGTGTGGATGCTCTTTTATTAAGCCTTGCATTCTGTAGAAATGGCTCCATGTGGTCTCCCAAAACAAAAACCTGGCCAAACCTGCCCTTGTTGAGGCACTAGAAATGTTAACAAACACAAACTAGCTAAGTGAAAAAACTCTTACATTACAGGTAGATGTGAAAATATTTTATCTTTACATGCCATTTATTTCCAATACCTCTCTGAACAGGAGTAAAGTGTAAATGAAAGGAGACAGTAAAGTTTAAATGAAAGGAGACAGATTAGACAGGTTAGATGATTTTTCCTTTTAAACCTCAGAGAGATTTGCATTTATACCTGGAATAACAGCTTTTACTGTACAAATAGATCAGGTGCAAAATCTCAAATTTTAGTCAAAGCTTCAGTTATTTTAGACACCAACAGGCATAAAAATGAACTAGCTTACCTTTATGATTAAGGATTTGGCATATTTATAAAAACATTTTTATAACAATAAAGCCAAACTAGCTTTATAAATTTAACATACAAAACAAAGCAAATGAAAACAGAAGACGATTAACTTGGAAAAATGGAGACGGCGGAGTACGGGGGAATGCAGATAAACTAAAGGCTGCAGGAAGGAATAAACTTGCATCTGTGTGCCAGCCCTGGAATGAAAACCTCAGAGCCCCAGGGCATCTTTCTGCAACCTGCATCCCAACAGTGTATTTCCAGATTCCACACACTCTGTCATACATGGAGCTGAAAAGGGAGGGGAAAGAAAACAAGCCATCAGAAGAGTGAATGTAGATGAGTTAAACCAACACACCCCATTAAAAACAACAGATCACAAGTTAATAGCTGGTTATTACCATTCTGAGCCTTGAACCAAGATGCAGCCTTCATAGCCAGGAGCTCCCACTCTTCCTTAGCATCCATGTTGAAACCATGAAGCCAGATCAGGGCTACAATGGTGGCCCATGCTTCCTTGTTGACCTAATTTAAAATGAAGACAATCTCAGAGAATAAAGAAAACAATGGAAAATGCTCACAGGTTCCGGGTCCATGTCCCAACCAGAGATTTCCGTGAGGAGACTGCATGTTCTCCCCCTGTGCCTGCATGGATTTTCTTTGGGTATTCTGGCTTCCTTCCACAGTCTAAAAACATGCAGGTGAGGTGGACTGACAACTCTAAAGTGCCCATAAGTGTGAATGGTTGTCTCTGTGTGTCAGCCCTGTGAAAGACTGGTGAACTGTCCAAGGTGTTGTCGTCCCCCATGTGGAGTGGGATAGGCTCCAGCCTTCCCGGGAACCCCTAAGGGATCAGCAGTTCACACACATAAATAGTGGCTAGATGGATTTGTGTTTTTTACAGTGCCCCACCGATGCAGGCTTTAATTTTTCCAACTCCCCACTTGTCTTTCCCAGTGCAGCAGCCAGAGATGGGTCTAGCAGCCAGACACCTTCTGGAGAGAGACCAACTGCAGCAAAGGTGCAGCAGCCAGAGATGGGTCTAGCAGGCAGGTCTCTGCAAGGCTGCTTGGGCAGCCAAGATTCTAAAGAGAAAATCAGAATATGCAAAGATGAAATAACCTGTGTGGAATATTACACTAATACACATTATGTGATTATATTTCATTAGAAAGTGGTGTTTTTATTTATTTATTTATCTATCTATGTAACCTATGTATTCCCAGAGAAAACCCAGTAAGGTTAGAAACTTCTTTTTCAGTGGTGGGCACCACCGTAAGAGGCAGGCATATAAAATTGGAGACAAAAACACTGTACAGAGAAAAACCCATCCATCCATCCATTTTC